ATATATATATATATATATTTATATATATATATATATATATATGAGTATTAATGATGTGTTTTAAAAAAATGGGGTACAAAAATCATTATTCTTAAAGGAATTTATCTGAATAAATCATTAACTAAACAAACTCAACATTCCATAGAGTTAGCAAATTGCTGGCTTACTACTACTTTACCGGTTTGGTAATTGGTAAGGGAACATGAACCGAAATGCTTAAAACAACAACTAAACTTCACAAATTGAAATTTTAAAGAAAACAACACCGGATCAACAATCCAAAAGGTGTTACGGTACAGACATCGAATGGTAGTTTGAAACTTCGAGGAACTTCAAGAAATACTTAAGAAAGGAAGAAGAATGCAAATATAACATCAACTGATACTAGAAGATCTAAAACAATATTTGATTCATCATTTTTCCAACACAAATCAAGAAAGAGGAAATCATACGAGTGTAATATTTTTAACATTCATTCTTGTACAAACGCATGTAATTCTTTTGGGCATAGAAAATTAAGAATTCCACCTAATCTATGACATAGAAGCTACATATTATTGCTTCACTTTGCAAAACCACATCAGAATGCACACCCAAACATACATTATCCTTCTAATCAAAATTCAAATTTTACTTCCACGATTTATATTTGTAATAAAATATACATTCTTAATGTTGCTCTTAAACGAGAAAGAAAATTAGGCTCCGCATAAAAATAATATAAAAACACAGAAAACGAGAAAATATGAAATTTTTAATAAAAATATAAAATGTAAATGTAAGAAAAATATAACAAAAATAAAAAATTAAGAGAGAAAAAAGAACACAACAAATTCAAATAGTTAAACTAATATGAACTACATTCACATAAGATAGCAAATTTCACTTTTAAAAAAATTAAATCTTTAAAATAAAACAACATTTTACTCTTCTTGATCAAAATCCATCTATTTAAAAAGTTTTCTTTTTTTCTTTATGTATCTCTCCTTCGTAGTGTTCTCACTCTTTTGTTTTCACAAAACCTTCTTAGAATGAATCTCAAAATAGATATAACTAGATAGATCCAAGTCCCTGAGATTAAAACCTTAAAGGACAGACCCAATTGATCATCAAACAAATGAAAATAAACCATACAAGACTAAATTTATCATACTAATGAAAATAAAAACTTTAAAACTATATATATATATATAGAAGAAAATAAGCATACAAATTTTTCACTAGATTTTAAATCACAAACAAGATGTAAGATTCTACTTTTAATAGTAAAATTCGAATAAACTACACTAAATGGCTAATAAAATTTCATAGATTTGAAGTTGAAATTATTTAAACACGACATAGATACTAAATAGAGAGAATCATCGGTCTTAAAATTAAGAACCAGGAACATGCAGTATATGAGTCACTCAGCAATCCAAGCAGAACCTAAATCCTTTTGACCTTGTCAGACTTCACAACTGGATTCGCCTGGGAAATCTCTTCCTTTCCGGCAGCCTTGAAGTCATAACTGCACTGGTGCTCTTCTGGATAACGATGCGTCCCACAGAAAGTACTCCCACACTTACACACAAACCCCGTCAACCCCACCTTCTTATTGCAAATGGAGCACCGATTTACCGGTTTGGACGAAGTGGACGGTCCAACCAAGCCCATCACCGGTGAGGATGGCTTGGGCGCAGGAAGCGCCATGACAACATTGCCGTATATGGAGTCTAGGTCTTCGAACTCCTCCTCGATGCAAAGCTCCATGTAGCATTGGGAGCAGAGGTTTAGGTTCTCGGGAGTGCCAAAGAAACCGCAGTTGTTGGCGCAGGGTTTCGGCTCCGAAGGTGGGTAGCTGGTGTCATTGTTCTTCTGGGAACTCATCTTTTGTGTTTTCTTTTCTAACAGGTTTTACTTTTAAGCGGTGAACCGCCACGCAAAGCATATAAGGACTCACGTTACGTGTAACTGATGCGCCAATTGGGTATGTTTTTGCGAACTCAGGTGGCGAAATCACGTGAATATGAATATGTGTGTACTCTTTATAGTGTGTATGGATGAGAAATTTTACAAATTCAAGGAATTTTAAATTCTTGGTATTTGAATTACTTTGATTTCAATTTCTATTATTCTTAAAATATTTTGTTTGGATGAGTCAATTCAAATTTCTTAAATTTTAAATTGTTAGGTTGAATATGATAATTTTATTCTATCATAGTAAAATTGATTTTAAAAATATATTTATATGTTGAGATTTTTAAATTAAATTTTATAAAAATAAATATTAATCCATTTTTAAATATTTATTAATTTTAAAAATTAATATTAGATAATATTTAATAATTTTAGCAATTAATATTAGATAATGTTTAACAATTTTAAAAATATTTTTGAATATCTAATAATTAAAAAAATGAAGAGATAAGATAAAATATATAGGTGAAATAAGAAAAACAAATATGAGGAATTTCAAATTCTCCCATTTTTGGAAGAATTTGAAACTCTACTATTTTAAGAAATTTCACAAATAATTGGATTTCAAATTCTTTGTAAATTCCTCATCCAAACAAAGCATTTCACCTCAAAAAATTTGAAATTCTTCAAATAAATGAATTACCCCATATAAATTTCTCATCCAAACACACCATTAGTCTTTAGCAACTGTAGAGCCGTTTAGGTTATTTTTTTAATTATTAAATAAATACATGACAACTCAATATCATTCACATAGGGAAATGCTTTATATTTGTTCAAAATGTGAAGATAACTGATTAAAGTTGCTTCATAAATTATTGATAATTTTATAAAAGTACCGAATTTGCAGCTCAAAAAATTAAAAATGACAAACAAATTAAGTAAAATATTTATAAATTTTCGTTTTTGCAATTATGTCATTCATGGTATATTTAAATATATTTTTAATTTATTAAATATAGATTGATATCTGAAAGTTTTTAGTTATTTAATTTTAAAAAATCTATTTTAATTCCTATACTTAAATATCATTAATGAATTTATCAAATAAAAGTACAAAATTTATTTATTAATATTTTTTCTACTCGAATATTTTAACTTATCTCTATTGGTTATTAGTTATGTTATTGATAACATTAAAGAATTATAATATTTTTAAAATTAGAAAACTAATACATTAATTTTAAATTTGAAAAATTAAAACTAAATTTATCCTAAATTTAAATAATTAAAAATATATTTAAGTCTTCCTTATATTTTATGATATATTAGAGTTCATTGTTGTGCATAAAACTTACTCACTTTTAAGTTAATTATTAATATTGTGAGTTTAATTGTTGTGCATTATTTGCATACAAGTTTTTACATTTTTATTGATATACAAAATCATTTTTAAAATAACTTTTAAGTTGAATATTATAAAAATTAATAAATTATTATTATTATTATTATTATAATTATTAACATCGTCGCATCTAATCATGTGTGTAATATAATTTATGTTAGCGTGC